CCCCATGGCCAGGTAGGGACAGTCCCTGAGAGACTGGGGTGCTTTCTTCCAGGTTGCTGAGGCTGGGCAAGAGCTACAGGGGAGCAGAAAACTGCAGAAAACTGTCACAAGCACTGAATAAAAACCAGAGCTCGCAGTCAGCAGTGGGGACAGAAAACCACGAGCACAGTTGGCACGGGGGAGGGAGTGCTGCCATGGCTTGGGAACGCCATTATCGAGGCTGTCTGGGAGATATTCAGCCCCCTTCCCAAAGGAATCCCCCGTTTTCAGCGATGCTTAAGGATCCTTCCCCTTGCAGCTCCCCAGCCCCAGGCTCCTACGGTCCAACAAATGTCTCACGGGTTGGTGGTGCTGAAGATGAACATGGAGCTGTGCGGCACCATCGCTTTGCCCGTCTCGCTTTTCTCCTTCTTCCGCTTCTTCTTTTCCATCTCCTCCTCATCCTCTTTGGTCTCAGCCTCCTTTAAGGGGCTGGCTTCGCCGTCTGTCTTGTTGCTAACTGCAGGAAAGCGAGAGCCGTTGCCTGGCCTTGCACCCAGATAGCACCCTGGGGCGTCCCTTCCTCCCCGGTGCAATCCTCCCCCCCCGCTTTCTGCTTTGCATCCCTTGTGCCACTACAGGGAGAGGAACCAGAAGGGAAGAAAGATGCGAGCTGCCAGGATGAAGCAGACGAGAAGGGTTTTAGCAAGGCCAGCTTTCACGGTGCTGTTTAATTAATAACACCGTTTAAAGCATCTCACCTTGACAGCGAGGATGCTGCGAAGGGATTTGAGCAGCAGCGAGCTGGGCGGAGGCTGCGGATGTGTTAGGACAAACACGGGATGCGAGTGTTTTGCCTGGGTGGGGAAGAAGGGGGAAGGAGGGATCAAGCAAAGGGATGGGTGGGAAGGAGGTGAGAAAGGGAGAAGCTCCCCTGGGAATGACGGCACATCAGCATTGCGCTTGGGCTCCCCTGCAAAACTGGGGTGCTGGAGGGAGGTGCTGCAAGGAGCAGCAAGGAAAGACCCCCAGCTGACGGATGTGGATAGGAAAAGCCATGCAAGCGACTTTCCATCCCACCCCAGAGTCCCTGAGGGCCAGGAGAGGGGCTCAGGAAAGAGAGACGGGTCCTCACTCTGTACCACAGCGGAGTCGTGGACATCGATCATGATGGTGGTGCTCTCCGTGGCCTTCTCGGTGTTGGGGGTGATGGAGGAGAGGTCAGGCTCGCTCCGGCTGACAGTGCGGCTGGCCTCCAGCAGTGCTTGCTCACTGGTGTCCGGGCTGCTGCAGTCCTGCTCCGTCAGGCTGCCTGTCTTCCCCCGGCCAGGCTCCTGTGCTGCTTGCGGGGGGCTCCCCTCCCTGGTGGTCCCAACCAGCTCGGCATCACCGGCAGGGATCCCATTTGTCCTGCGAGAAAAAATGGTGTGAGAGGGTAAGGGGAGAGGACAAGGAGCCAGGGGAAGTGCCAGGTGCCCTCCCCTGGTACCAACCTGATGGGCTCCCCGCTCGCCTCCGGCT